CGTGGATCCGAGCCGAGTGAGGGTCTGGAGGTTTTTTCTTTAAATCTGTTTCTTAAGAGTGATTGGTTGATTCCTATGTTTGTCATTCATTAATTCATTCATCTATCCTTTCATCGTTCANTGGATCCGAGCAGAGTGAGGGTCTGGAGGTTTTTTCTTTAAATCTGTTTCTTAAGAGTGATTGGTTGATTCCTATGTTTGTCATTCATTAATTCATTCATCTATCCTTTCATCGTTCATTCACTTGCTCATCAAGGAGTGACTGCATTGCTTATGCTTGTAGGGGAAAGGCACGGACTAGTTGTTAGAACACTGAGGTTTAAGTCCTGCTACCATTCTTCTAAGGCCATGAGCCCTTGGCCCTTTGGGTCACCTGAAGCTCCCCAGTCTGTAAAATGGGACTCATAATGAACAAGAAAACTCTTTGAGAATTTCACAGTGCTGAGCAAAGGAAGAGTTTCTGTGAAATCAAAACACCATGCCAGCAGCACAAGAGAGATGGGTAAGTCATATAGAATCTGCACTTTTGAGAATCTGACACTAGATAGTCTACTGGCTTAATGCTGAGTCTAGCAGTATGGGGCATGGAAAGAATCTCTGAACTGGAATCCAGGAAGCCTGGCTTCCAGGTTAGTCTGAGCTGCTGACATGCTGTATGATGATGAGCTGCTCAATTTCCCCCTCTAGACTTCTGATTTTCCACCTGTCCTATAGAGGGATTATTAAGCTTAGGTATCTCTAAGGCACCTTGCAGCTTGGACACTCTATGAAATGAGTGAAATCAAGAAAAAATAGGAAACATGTCAAGATACCCATCATGAACCAATATGTATTATATACTAGTTTCTGTTTGGGCAACAAAGGCATGGGAACATTCTAGGCAGTGATGGTCTCCCACAGGGCAGGTCTTGGGTCTGTGGATGTTGATTTTCCATGGCATCTCTGCCTCTTTGCTTAGCTTCCATCTTTCCGGGAGAAGGAGGGAGCTCAAACTCTTCTCCAAGATGACTGGGAGTCCACCTGTGACTCCCGAATAAACATGATGGGCAGGACTATTTGCAACAATGTTAGCCATGTTTCCAAGTGGTTTCTCAAACCTATTACTTGAGTCTGAATGGGGAAGGTGGAAAGCATGAGCGGAGGGGAGCCCCAGCCTGGAAATTTGGAGCCCTGGGTCTAGGGCCGGCTGTCCAGTAACTGATCAGTGACATTCATTTACTCATCACTCATTTCCTCAGGAAGCATTTATGGAGCACCTACTGTGCGTGTTAGGTTCTGGATTAGACACTGGAGACAACAAGTAGAGCATAGTTTCCTAGACTTTGTGTTTCCTGAAAGCAAGGGTCCTTCCTTATTTTAGTTCAGTTCAGTTCAGTCCAGTCGCTCAGTCGTGTCCAACTCTTTGCGACCCCGTGAATCGCAGCATGCCAGGCCTCCCTGTCCATCACCAACTCCCGGAGTCCATCCAAACCCATGTTCATTGAGTAGGTGATGCCATCCAACCATCTCATCCTCTGTCGTCCCCTTCTCCCACCTTCAATCTTTCCCAGCATCAGCGTCTTTTAAAATGAGTCAGTTCTTTGCATCAAGTGGCCAAAGTATTGGAGTTTCAGCTTCAGCATCAGTCCTTCCAATGAATATTCAGGACTGNCCTGACCTGCATACAGGTTTCTCAAGAGGCAGGTCAGGTGGTCTGGTATTCCCATCTCCTTCAGAATTTTCCACAGTTTATTGTGATCCACACAGTCAAAGGCTTTGGCATAGTCAATAAAAGAGAAATAGATGTTTTTCTGGAACTCTCTTGCTTTTTCAATGATCCAGCGGATGTTGGCAATTTGATCTCTGGTTCCTCTGCCTTTTCTAAAACCAGCTTGAACATCCGGAAGTCCTTATTGCTCCTGGGCCTAAATATGACCCTGCCTTAAGGACCACCTAGACTAGAGGAATCTTTGGACATGCAATTTCCTTCCTTGCAGCTCTATGTTCTCACTTGTAAAACGGTTTTGGGGAAGTGGACTTTATGATCTCTACGATCCCATCTAGCCTGGGTGTTCTGTTCCATGATTGCATTACCTGGTGGCCTGCAGTGAGAAAGGTTTGCATACAGAGATGGAGCAAAGGTCACAGAACGATCTGCAGCAGAGATGAAATGAAACCGCAGAGTCTCCAGGGAGTGCGTGGAGCTAGCAAACCCCCTTCACCACGGGGACAAGACAAAGCCAGATCCAGGCATTCAGTCAGAGCACTGAGGGTCTGCAGGACACCACCCTGAGTCTCCCTGGACCCTCCCCTCAGGGCAAGGGTGAGGTTTTTCTGGACAGTGTCACAGCCAGCACTCTGGGCAAGACTGAGAGCCAGATGTTGAAGCGGAATACATCAGGACGGAGAAGCAGGATCTCTGAGTTTCTGTCACAGTCTGCCTCCCCCTGATTTTACCTGTGTCGCCAAAACTCTCCGGGGATGGTGACACCTACCTCCTATACTACTGTGATGATTAAATGTGAAAACACATATGAAAGGTCTTCGTAAATTCTGAAGTGCTTTATACATGGAAAATAGAGTTAATATTCATGAAAGAGGAGAAATAAAAGGGCACCTTAAACAATGAATTGGTACCCCCTAAGTGTGTGCCAGGCACTGAAGTAAGCACTTCATTAAAGCCAACTCATTTAAACCCCATGACGTGAGGTGGGGGTTAATGTTCCCATTCTACAGATGAAGAAATGGAGTCCCTGGGAGTTTAAGTAACTAGGTCAGAATCACCCCACCAGGAAGTGACAAAGCAAGGACTCATAGCCAGGGAGTCACCAACGTGCCCTTCTGCCTCTCTGCATGGAAGAATGTTTTCTAACTCAAGTTAATTCTAGCCAATAAACCTGGCCTGAGAGCTAGACTGAACACTGGGCACATGACAATGAGGACACAGGAGCATAAGGAAATAAGGAAATACTCCGAGGAATAAGGAAATAGACCCTACAAATATGATTGGTATTGGAATAATGTAAAGAAAAATGTGGAGATGGAAAAGATGAAGAGGCTTTGCACTTATCACCCTAGGAACAAGGTAGTGGATAAAGAGTAGTTCAAGGTGAGGCTGAAAAGGCGAGGTGTTGGAACTTGATGGTGAAAGATCTAGGAGGCCAGGCTACAGTGATCAGAGTTTAGTCTGGAACTGATAGAGAATAATGAAGGTTTCAGAGGAAGTGAGCAATGCATCAAAAGTGGAATTTTAAGAGAGTTAAACTAACAAAAGGGAAGAAACCCATTCATCTTTGATCACCACTATTACCATAGCCTGTGTCCTGGTAACAGTGAAGTTAGATGAAAGTTAACCTTTCAAGTTGGACTCCTCCTCAGGGAAAAAGGGGGATGAAATTTCAGGTATTTAGTACATCATTGATACTCAAAATGGTGAAGAATGGAGAGGTGGTCCCAGAAGACTGGGTTGAAAGGATGTTAGAAGTGATGTGTCTCCATCCCATGCTTGACTCTCCCACTTCACTGTTGAGGAGGTGGTCCTGCCTCTGGTAGACCCCTCAGATGATGGGGAATTCTCACTCCAGAAAGTAGCCTGCTCTATTCTTAGACAGCTCCTCCTGCTAGAATGAGTCGGCTTTGTTTTGTTCAAACCTAAGAATGTCTTTGCCTGGAGAATCCTGTGAACAGAGGAGCCTGGCAGGCTACAGTCCATAGGGTTGCACAGAGTTGGACACACCTGGAAGCTACTTAGCATGCACGCAAGCAAGAACATCTTTATCTCAGTATCACCGTGTTCTTCCCCCTTGGGCCTAAAACCTGCATTAAGTGAGAGTAAGGGAACTTTACGGGGGTTTGAAGGGGCTGGATCTGGGAAGCTCAGGACTATCTAGAGAGACAGACAAACTTAGCATTTCGGGGGAGGAAGTCCAGCCAAGTGGGGGAGACACAGAGCTTAGAGCCTGAAGGAAAAAAGGAGCTACTGTTCATGGGCCTCTGAGCTGAAGGCCAAGTTCTGGGCTTCCGGAATCACTTTGCTAGTCAGGAAATAGGTGAAGTGTCCCACATGAATCTCAACTCTAATTCTTCTTAAGAAGCCTCTGTCTCTTTTCAATGAATTACTGGAGAGACCTCCCAGACCATTCCTGCAACTAATACCTACTGGGTGCCAGGCAGTGAGATTTACAAGTGGGCTAGGCATGCCTACTCTTCTGAGAGGCTCACACTCTAAGGGGCAGATGAAGGGGATGAAGAAGTAAGCAAATAAAAATTATATAAAGAATCTGCGATGTATTCAAAAGTGGTCAGCAGCCCAATTTCCATGAGTCAGAACCATGTTTTGGTTTGTAACACTGGATTCTCAGTGCCTAGACTTAGGCCTGGCATGTTCTCAATAAATATTGATCAAATAAATAAATAAGTGAGTGAAAAAATAAGTGTCTGATAGCTTTTGATCTAAAACCATAATGAAGTTCTTCTGAGCTTCAATTTAGTACTTTATTCACTGTAATCTGGTGATCTTTAGGTCTATAAAGTCCCTCGGGAAGTTTGTCTTGGCAGATGGATATTAACCAATTGAAGACAGGCATATGGCATCTACCACTTTCTATGACAATGCTGTCCATCCCATGTGACTGGTTCCTTGTCCACATGTGGAATCAACAGGAGTCTGACTTGTTGAGTGAACTTGGGCAAGTCACTTAACCTCTTAAACTTCCGTTTCTTTTCTGTGAAAGAAAGAGAGCACCCCATTCTGGTTCACATTAGTTAGTAAATAATTTCATTCCAAGAAAGAGCTTGACCTTGTTGAGAAAGAAACCAAATGGAAGGCAGGCTTTTTTCCTAAAGCAACTCGATCTTATCAGAGCATTCAGACTCAAAGATTAGCCTCAGGGAGCTGCTGACATTAGAGGGGTATTTGAATCTGTGAACTTTTGGCTTAAAAGTAAGAGTTCAACTCTCCTCTGATTCTGGTGTTGCAATGTTGGCCAAAGGTGGCTGTTGTACTGTGCGTACGACCGGAAACCCCAAATTGGGTTTGCATCTCTCTGGCCGAGCGAGGTGCCTTCCCCAGCCTCACCTCCAGATGTTCCATGGGGGTTTGAGGTGTGGAGGAGGAGTGAACGGAGCTTGGTGTCTCTCTGATTGAGGTGAGTCTGTGTACCCGCATGCACGAGAGAAAGCTGGGGGTGGGGGTGTCCCAGCCTGCTTCTGTAAATGGGTACCACCGACAGCCACAGGGCGCTGTAGCCAGAAGGGAAAAATGCTTCTGTAATCATAAGCTAAAGGTTCCCCCACCTTCCCTCTGAGAAAGTTTGGAGGTTATTTCTTTTTCAGCAAGCTGCCAAGCTTTCCCCCACATCAGTATTATTTCAATGACTTTTACAAACTCGCCCGCCTGCTTTTTAATAAGCAGGTCTTTGCATTGATGGTACATGTGCAAGGTCTGACCTTTTCATAGGAAAAAACATTCATAACCGAAGCCTATATATAGAAGCTGAAGACGGGAGCAGATAAAGATGTAGGTCATATGACTTTTTGTGTGTGTGAAGCATAATGCAAGAGGGACCCAGCAGACAATTCAAAACTCATGAAATACTGCCACTGGCTTAAGCCTTCCTAATATTTATTAAAGGCTTTCAATAATGACTTTGTTTTCAACTGGGAGCTGTAATGCCACCTTCTATCCCTCAATACAGGACTTTTTTCTCCACAGAGGAACTTTATTTAAAATTGCCTTTCACTATCTGGTTAACCCTTAACAAGTCTTGTTCAAGGAAAGAACAATGGCCATAAAAATATATCTAGTGAACAAATATTTCACATAATATGATTGGTAATCCAAATACCTGATTTGTGTCAAAAGAAGACATTTCCCCAGGCTCATGATTAGCTAAGTGAGCAGAAACCAAATTCCTCAGCATTCAAGACTAATGTGATTGAGGGGTTGTTTGCCTTTCCAACAGTCTCTCCAGCACCCCTTTTTATACATCTTGTTTCACCAAATCCTCTACTCCTTCATCTTCATGTCCCTTCTTCCTTGCCTTTGCTCCGTTTCCTCTCCTTTCTTGGCACCTTCCTTTCTGGACACCTCTGTGTGTACAGGTCTGTTCTGACAGCTATGGCTCAAAAGCAGTTGCCTCCAAGAATTCTTCCTTCTCTCCCTTCCCAAGCTCTTTGTTCTTTTATGACCTGATCAGTACTTGCTGTGGGTTATGCTTCCAGTATATCCCATTCTTTTAGACTATAAATGCTTTGAGAGCAGGGTAAGACTCATGTTTGAGGTATTCTGAACCCCCTTAGCATGTAACTCTGAAGTTCATGTACCACAGGTAGTGATCATAAAACACATTCCTGCAAAATGTACATCGAGTGCGTGAATGTGGCATGGTGTGCCAATGGTGATTTGTGGGGTGTTTATGTAGAGCTACTATGCTAAGCATTGTCTCATTTGAGCATCACGTATAAACCCATGAAGCTGTTGTTGGTGTGTCACTATCCACAGCTGGAAAAACTAAAGCTCAAAGGAGTTTTAAACCTCACCCAACATCCCATAGCTGGCAGAATGGTAGACCAGGATTCAAACTCAGATCTGTTTGGCCCAGAGGTTTTGCAGACTTGTTCTAGATTACAAGAGTTGACTATTAAATTATCAGGAATTTGGCAAAGTGGTTGAAAGCACAGTTCCAATTATAAATAAAATCACATAAACATATAAATAAATAACATTAAAGACAATGGCAGAAAATACTCAAAACGTATCACTTCCTATTTTATGAAATGTTATTATCATATATGTGCTTGAGGTTGTTAATATTGATTTTATCCATATGTTAGAATCATTACCTACTGCTGTGCATCTCTTCCAAAGGACACATTCAACAATGCTGCACTGGTAGCTGGAGAGTGGCCTCTGTGGGAACATCTCTACCAAGGATATTGGAAAACACAACAAACGTGTCTTGTCCCTTACCACCCCCATCCTACTTAATGCCAGTTGTTACACATTTACAAACACAACACTGGTCTGGCCCCAAAGTGAGACAAATGCTTCAGTAAATAATATGCTTTAGATCCAATACTCACAGATTCTTCTGTTTCTAGACTTAACTTTCACTCAGTAGGGCCTAACTTTGAACCATCACAGATAAGCTGCTTTCTGATGTTAGAAAATTGACGCTTAAATGGCTCCTTTGGGCCTCAGAACTGGAATAAAAGTAACTCTTAGCAGTTATTTTTTTGCCTATACCCATATATCCTAAACCACTAACACAAATTTAATTATGCTCTTCATCACATCCTATACCCAGGAACACATGATGAATCTCATAAACTAAAGTGGGAATTCTAAAATATGGATATAAATTTATTTCCCCAAATTTACATGAATATAATAACCTATTGCTTGATCTACATATTCTCAGAAGCTAGATTTCATGTACATAGTTTCCACACTATATATTTTATGTGCAGTTCCCATGAAATGAGATCTGATCTTTGAGCCACAGGTTATGGGATAGGTACTAATTCCTTAACCCTAGAGCATGTGTGTTAGTATTGCTGAACCTCAGTTTCCTCATCCGTACAATGAGGAATTTGCTTTAGATGTCCTTATAGATCCTTCTGGCTCTCAATTTCTGAGTGACACTACACGTTGCTTCTCTTCTCTAGGGCTCAGTTTGTGCATCTGTAACCAATGGGGGGTTGAAATGGGTAGCTGCTAATGCCCTTTGCAGCTCCATCATCTTGTGGATCCACGTGAAAAGCCCTGTCTTCCATCTCACGTGTCATGCCTACTGGATACCATCAGGCCTTACTTAGCCCTGAGAAAATGCCAGGTCACCTGCTGATCACTCAGAACTCAAGTGTGCCAAGAGAGGACTCAAGAGATGGAGCTGCTTTTCTCGCTGGGAGCTCTAACTGCCACAGGACCAGGCTGCCACAGCCCTCAAAACAAAGGGAAACGTGTAGGCGGAGGGAGCGCCTCTGTTGTTTTCTTTTAGACGGTCTAGAAGTGAGGGTGAAATATCTGTACAAGGGTTTTGATTTGACACTCCAGCTGGGTCTGCAGTGAGGAGGGTGGGGGTGAGGGAGGCGCAAGACGTAAGACGGGTGACACTTTCTGTTGGACTGGGGAGACGAGGGTGACGGTGGAAAGGAAGGGAGAGGGTTATGCAGGAACTACTGGGGTGATGCTCAGGGTGAGCAGAGCACACAGCCAGCGTGTCTCAGTCTCTGCCCTTACTTGCTGACCCTGAACCTACAGTTCATTTGTATCTCTATGGAAAATCAAAAACTGTTCGTAACCCCTCATCTACATCTCCATCCTCATCCTCCCCCACAAAACCCGTATGCTTTTCAGGTTATAAGCACTTTGACATGTAAAATCTCTTCTGACCCACAAGACAACTCAACTAAATAGGTATCATTGCTTGAACTCTTCAGAGGAAGAATCGGAGGTTCAGAAAGGGAACTGAAGTTGTTTAAGATCACCTAGGTTGGAGGGCTGAGACTGGAACGGAGTCCGTTCTTTGAACTTCAAGTCCATATGTTTCCAGCTCCCAAATGACTGCAAGGGTTGGAAACCACATGTCTCCTAGTGGCTGCTTTCCTGAGGACTCCCAGAACCACACTCAGGAAAGGAGGGGTTGATGCATTCATGAGCTCAGTGACTCCTAGAAGTGGAGGGCAATCTGCACATCCCCTGCCCAGACTCTTCAAATTTCACATGGGAGAAATGCAGCCCTCAGAGACATGTGCATGTTCAAAGTCAGGTAAAGAGTGAGGGACAAGGCTAAGATTTCACCTGCTGGTCATTGCCATCTGCTCAGGCATTTCTCTCTTTTGATGGCTTTTTAGCTACCAGCAACATTACAAGATCGTGACTACTCTAAAAGCCTCAACCATCACTGTGAGGTAAAGTTACGTTTTCTTCCAGTATGGACATGGGCAGAAGAACCGTGGATGGAGGGAGGCCAACATACTCCAATCTCAGCTGTCATTTTGAATTTGAACTCCTCTGTGCCAGAAATCGGATTTATTGCTGGTGAGAATGGTGACTCATGTTCTTTTGACGCCAACCAACTAATTTATCCTGCTGTGGTTTGGTAGGTACAAATGTTTAGTATGTGATCAAAAATAGAGACCCACCCTCTCCCACCATGCAGGCCCTTAAGATGGGTCTTGCCCAAGCCTGAGGATGTTCTCAAACTCCAATCAAACTTTTACCTCAAGTATAATCTGTCTTATTCTAGGAATCACTGAAACTTGTAACCCAGTCATGAAGGATATCACACTGTATCAATAAAAGGGAAGAGTCTCATCTAAGAGTTCCCTGTCTTGAGTGTACCTTCTTTTTTATTATTATTAAATTGATCTGGCACCTTTGGCAGCTCATTTTCTCTCTCTGAGCCACATTATCCCTATCTGCTAAATGAGAGGGTCAAAGTGGGTGACTTTGGGGGATTATCTATTTTAAGGAGCTCCTTCCTTATAAGATCACACTTTTATCAGAGGCATCTCATTACATCTCAGTTTTTCTATATGTCTTGAGATGCTTCGGGGGTGAGGTTTAACCTGTGTTCTAAATGGGATTCTGCTCTATTTCTAAAAGGATAAGGAAAGCTAATAAGAATGGTATCAATTTAGCCTGTAAAAAGTTAACTTCAGGATGAGCAATGGTGGTGTATACAACAAACTTCAGAACTTGACATGACTTAAGCTTTCTTGCCCTCATTACAGTATTTCTTTTAAAACCTACTTTTCAGGGACAGGGCACCCACCATAACCATCCAAGAGGTGAAGATGAATTCAGAGGAAACCTCTACAGGGATAAAAACAAATAAAATGTTTTATTTTAATAGTCACAGATCGTTGTCTCAAGATTAAGCCGCTTTGATCCTAGAGAACTCTCTCTGTCAATTTTTCTAACATGCTTGTGCAAACTCAGGTCTGAAACTTGGGTTTCTTCACTCACTTTTTCAACTAGTATCTCCTAAAGTGCCTATGCAGTGACAGGCACTTTTGCCTAGAGAACTGTCTCTATCAATTTTTCTAACATGCTTGTGCAAACTCAGGTCTGAAACTTGGGTTTCTTCACTCACTTTTTCAACTAGTATCTCCTAAAGTGCCTATGCAGTGACAGGCACTTTTGCCATGGCTGTGGGAAAACAAGGATAATTTTAATACTACCCTGATCATAAGGACCTTAGCGTCTTCCCAGAGATTTAACAGGCACACAGATGACTGTAGCTTAAGGCAGTGGCTTCAACGCCATGAGAAAGCTGGAGGCTGTTGAGAGGAGAGAGATTCCATCTCACTGAAAGCTCCTCCCACAGGAAGTGGCCTCTCCAGTCTCGATGGTTGTCAGGCAAGATTTTAATTCATTGTTAATAAACTAGCGACTGGGGAGCCTACTTCTCTGTGATTCTTTTTTTTTTTCATCTGTAGAATGTGATAAGAATAGTATCAACCTCAATGACTTGTGAGTAATATGTGATTTCACGTGTATTAAAGCTCTTAGAAAATTTCCTGGAACATTGTAAGTGCTCAAAACATTCATCATGATTTTTATTCTTAGCATCAGAGTAAAATTACCCCAAAGTTTCTTGCAGTCTCAAGAGAGAGATCCATGGAGGGAAGACCCACGCTCATAGACTTCTTTGTGTGTTCCAGTGAAACCTACTCAGGTCACAGGTGCCCAGGCTGTGTAGCTCAGAAGGGTGCCGTCACTTTCTCCCTCTCCCCTAAACTCATCCTTCTGTCTCTCAAACACATCGCGCGTGTGCACACACACACACACACACACACACACAAATGCACAACTGTTTCTGTCTGTAGAAGCTGGACTGTTTATCAAAAGCCCCAGATGTAGGAATGTTTCAAATAATTTTTGGAAACTGAAATGATTTCAGAGATAATAAGCATCAAGACTGTGGGTGTAAAATAAAAACAATAGGTGAGTTCATAGTGAAATCTTTACATTGAGGAGAGGTGGACTTTCCTTTTTGCTGTCTTTTTTCCCAAAAGCATCATCATTTATGTGGTTTGAAAGTGATCTTTCCTCTGGAAATTAGACATTGTGATATACAACACAAAGATGTAGCTGATTAATTGTATGAACAACTCAATCTCTTTTGAGTGCAGCTTTGTCCTCCTTCAGGCATGGCAGCCTACAAGAATGAATTTGCTTTGAGTCATATATTTTACATAAACCAAAGAGGTTACCCCTAAGATGAACTGTCTGGCTTACGCTTCCCCACCCCCACCGCGTCCCACACACCATCGCAGGAAGGTATTAGCAGTTTCAAAACTTGAACTTTCTCTCAAGCATTTCTTTACTTGAACCAAGCAGGATTTCTGCATTAAAAAAAATTATTGTCACAGTGCAGTGTGTAATGAATGACTATGGGCATGTTGTTCTTTTAGATGTAAAGCTAATGAGACAATATTTCTCATTTACCATCAGTGTGACAAATACTGGGGAGAGATACTGCTGTCCTGGATATTCAGCAGTGTTTTTGTCTCTCTGGTCACATTGTGAACAGACAAGCAGCTGCTAGAGGCTGACCAGGATGGGGAGTATTGAAGTTCGTCTAAGTTCACCCCACATCTCTTCTGTTTTACAGATGGTGAAATCGAGGGTCAAAAAGAGAAAGTGACTTGCAGAAGGTCGCAGAGGGGTTAGAACCCAGAACTTTTGAATCGCAGTCCAGGATTCTAACAATAGAACAAAAGATTAACACTAGCCCACAACCACAGTGCTCTCATAAAATGTAATGACATGATACAATAATATCTGACTTGAATGGTTGCTATGGGGGTAAATGAGATAACAAATGTGAAATATTCATGTAAAATCTTAGAGTACTACCTAGGTGGTTGATAAAGAGTGCAGAACATCTATACAAGTCAATGGAGAAATGAGGATTATTTTCTTCCTGCAAATAAAACAGAAGTAGTCCCAAGGTCATTTTAAATGTGTTTGCCTGATGACTTCTTTTAGCCTGAAGTTTCCTCCGCATAGTTCAGCATGAGGGAGTTTCATGTCATTCTAGACGAAAGATAATTTGTCTGTCTCTCATATAACTAGCAATCTCTAACCAAGCACAAATGTGGCTGAGGTCAAAAGCAGAAACACTACCCTAAACTTGAAGATGGCATTTGCAGACTTAAGCCTAGAGCAGGAATTCTACTCTCAAAGTGGAGGCTCCTCAGTCAAACAGGTAAATAGTACCTTTGGCACCACAAAGACTTCCTCTAGAGTGAGGAAGATGGGAAGAGAGGCAGAAGGTTATTTCACAAGAAGTTGGGCTCAAGAATAGAAGTACATGCTGTTCATGGGACTTTTCTGATAGGGATTTAAGACAAGTTGAGTCACCTGTGAGATTGACAGCAACACATTGGATGCTTGCGGAAGCACGATTGGAATTGTTTGGTGCCATGCACAGGAGGAAGGTCCCATGAGACCGAGGGTGGTTTAGAACTTTTGGACAATCTAGAAACTGTTAACATGGAGCCAGGTTGCCTCTGAGAAGAGAGCACGTGATCCTAGAAGCCGTCCTAGAGGGGCTGTGGAAGGGATGCTGAAAACAGCTGCAGACCAGACAAAGCCCCCTGTACTATGCCACCCTCTAACAGTCTCTCTGAAAGTCTAGAATTCCTTTTTTTCCATAGAGGGAGGATGCTGAAAGAGCAACCGGAGTCAGAATGGCAATCGACAGGATGGAAAATCTTTAAGCGGCCTCACCTTTCTTCTCCCATAAAAAGCGAGTGATGAGATCCTGCTCTCAGGGAAATGAAAGGGCAGTAACTTTCCAAAGCAATCAAAGATGCTGCCTCTAGTCCTATATTCAGGCCACATGTGGAAGTGCTTGCTTTCAGATGGATTGTGGGGTTTTTTTTGTTTTCCCAGCTCAAAGTCTGTGGCTGAAATGATGTGATCCAGATTGTGCAGCGGAATTGCTCTACGCTAGGTGGTACCTGGCTTGGAGGATCGCCTTCCATGGCCTAGCAAATACAGTACTGAGGTGGGGTGCAGCAGGAGGTGGTAGTGGTACTGGGGTGTTGTAAGATTTTTCTTGGAATCTGTGATGCTGCTTTAAAAGACCAATGGGATCATCAGAGATTGTCCTGCTGTTTATCACAACGGGATCCATAGCACACTGATTCTGTGAGATCCGTGTTCTAGGACCAACTTAGAGGAATGTTGCATATTCCATAGCCTCCAACCCCCCCCCCCCCCCGCCATGTAGATTTGCATGTAAAGACTCTGAAAAGGGCCAGAGCAAAGCAACCTGTTTCATTTTGAATAATCCTTCTTTTTTTTCTAACTTGTTTGACCATGGTAACCATTTTTACTGAACACTACAGTCATCCTGGGTGCTTATGCTCCATAGCAAATCCTTTGAGGAACATTTTTGGTTAATTCCATGGATTCAGTAGTCACTGACACAAGGACCCACAGAATGTTAGCATTGAAAGCATCACAGGATTCAATGCCGCCTTCTACTTTTTAAATAAAGAAAGCAGAGACTTAGAATTTTGTACCGAAGTAATGAACAACAGCCATTAATCCTGATCTATAAGAGTCTAAAATTCTAAAGTGTTAACAAATGCCTGTGTAACATTAGGTCATGGATTGTGATGTAATATTATATTATACATAAGGATAAATGGGAGTTCCAAGAATACAGGAGTTGGAATGAATAGAACTGGTTTCTAATCTGAGGTATCTACTTTTTTCATTCTTATGGCATGGGTCCATCACTTTTATTAGCAGTGGGTACTCTCTCCTGTCTAAATTGGGGAAGATAAAGCTTGTCTGGCTAATTTCACAAGTTCTGGTGAGAATGAAGATAGAAAAAGGATGTGAAAGTGGTTTATAAATTGAAAGGTACTGTGTAAATGGTAGCGATCCTTTTTCCCCCTAACTGGTTGATGTGTCAGTTGACATTGGGAGGCATTGACATTGTGTACATTTTCCATTGATTTCCTATTTCTTGAAGTTTGCTTACATCTCTCCATACACTCCATCTTTTAACTGCTTTCCCAGGTTAGTGAGATGACCTCTGTGTGGAAGCTCTCAGCAAAGTCACAAAGTCAGTTGCCCCCATGGAATGAGACATGGAACCTAGGACCTTAACTCACACTCAGTCAAGCTGACTTGCAAGGGAAAGCAGAAAGCTATGGGCAGGGACAAACCCTCATAAACACCTGTGAAGGACACAAAGGTCTCTAAATTCTGTGTTGTCAGGACTGAACAAAAGAAAAGGAAGAAACCACCAACATTAGTACCAAGAGAAAAGAGAGTGACAGAGAGAGAAAGACTCGGTTCATGAAGCCTGGGTATCTTATCTCTGGAATGTTATTGATAATCTGAGTGTAGTGTGAGATCTTAAGTGAAATGAATTGGTGGTTTCAGTTCCGGATATGGTATGCAAAGAAAAAAAAAATTGCTCTTTGAAATTCAGAGCTTCCTTGTCTGGGCTTCAGGAAGCCACACGCCTGAAGCTGAGTGTGGAAACTGACTCATTTCTAGCCCTTTGAGATTAGCCTTTCCAGCCCCCAGACTGTGGGCAGGATCTGAGGCCTATTGGGTCCAGCCAAGCCTGGAGAAGGAGATCAGAAAGAAAAAAAAGTGTTGGATACACACCTCTTTTCGGGTGCTTGGCCTCCCAGAAGGTTCTAGATGCAGTGGCCCTTCTGGACAAACTACTTCCAAAGCTTTTCAACTTGCAGTTGGTAGTGGGTGGGTGGCCTGAAGTGCGAGGAAACAAAAATTCAAAAGCAGTGACTACCTAATTTTTAAGGAGACATTAAAGCAGGTTTTCTGGCTGACCCACTTGGTGGACCAACTTGACCGTGAGGTTATGAGTGTAAAGGATATCATATGTTTCCATACCAACCAGCCCTTGGAAGCAATGAGTCATTCTCCATGACTGTCCCAACAATCTGTGGATCTGGTATTCTGTGTGCTGCTCAGGGACATGGGAGCCCCAGAGGTACTTAAAATAACTTCTACAGAAGAGAAAAGCATGTTAAAAATCACATTTTCCCATTTTTTCTTTACACCTCAAACATGATTGCACATGATGTGTCAGTTAAACTGAAGCATGGAACCCCAGGCATGACAGGAGGGAACTCAGATTTTCTAGAAGGGTCATTCCAAGCTTGACCCTTTAGACCTTAAATCAGCGGTTTCCAGACTGCCTGCAGACCATCTCAGTAAGAGAAATAGTCACTAAGATGACCTTTTATTTCAATCTGATAGACACATTAAAAAAAACCAGAACAATGTGTTTGAAGATAATGTGAAGAGTGCTGGTTTAAATGAGAAGCTAGTGAGAGACAAGATGATACTGGGGAACTGGGACCAACAAAAGACCTGGCTGAGGGTCAGATGATCAGAGTTTACTAACTCCATGGCTTCTGGCAATCCACTTAATCTCTCTAAACCTCACTTTTTCATCTATAAAGGAGGAACACTAATTTAAAAAGACAGCACACATGTGAAGGCATTTGCCTTATAAATGGTAAAGACTGTGCAAAGGTTCATAGTTATTACTATATATGAGCTTTTAAACATTAATGATGAAGCTGTGTTAGAAGTGAAAATTTTAGACTTCATCATAGAATAAGCATTCATCTTCTAAATTTCCTCATCTGGAAAGCACTCATGAAACACATTAACCCACATTATCGATTTATTTGCATGGCACTTCCAAAAAATATCTAAAATAGCTCATAAGATACAGAGGTAGCAACCTCATTAAAACACAGATACAAGATTAAGACCTGGTCAGGAAAGAAGAGGACAGTGAGGAGGAGAACTCAGAATTATAATAACTTTACTGAAGCATAGAGTGTGATTTTTGAGCCTCCCAGCAGCTTAGACAAAGAGGGAACTTCGCAGTATTATATAGTACTTTTCATCCAGTAAAGGAAGAATAGTTTTGTATGGATTGGGAAGGAGGACCAAACCCTTCTTGGCCCTAAATTCCACATGAAATGTATCATTTACATCTTTTTTTAAGCGATTTGAAGAAATAAACCAAGCAGGATCTTCAAAAACACACAGCAAAGATACCCTTCCAGTCTAACCACTAAGATATTTCCCTTTGTGAATCAGTGCTTGCCTTCCCAGAACAAACAAACAGCAAGATGATTAATAGAAGAAGCAGGCTGCCTTTAAAAAATAGGGCAGTGAAAATCAGAATGTTTGCCCCTGGCAGGGGCTTGCCACTAACCCAGGTACTCACAGAGGCAGTCACCATTCATTAGGGGAGTCCAGTCAGCAAGGCAATCTACAAGGTGCCTTGCACAAGGTCACCTGGTGTCTCTGAAACTGACTCTGCATTCTGAGTTCCTTAATATGATTTTTTAGGTCACAGTGTTCTAGGCAAAGCTCCCTATTGATGTACATCTCTCATGCAAGATTTAGATCACCTCTTTTCGGGCAGAGCTCCATGGAAACACCGCCCATGATTTCTGAAGTGGAGACTGATTGAATCCCAGTAACGCCTAGCTGGAGTGGACAGTGAGTCTGCAGCTGACCCATTGCTGGACAGTTGGTAAACCTGAGACTCCCAGAATATAGTCCTTAGAGGCCACTATTGTTTTAATGACACAGTAAATTCCTGTTTACCTAAGGTGGCTAGGCAATGGAAAATTCTGGTTCATGTTGTTGCCATCTATATCAATAACTGATTCTTGGTCTCCAAACAGTAAATTACAACACACTTCGCTAAACTCTAAAATCATACACTAGTATGATTTAAGCTTTCTTTGATAATTCATAAGATATTTTAAGATCTATTAGTATTAAATATTATCATTCATTATTACCATTAAGATCATAACCTGATTTTCTGGGATCCTGGGTACAAATGCAGAAGGTGTGGGAATCTGGGCTGCTTCTGTCCTAATTCTCCACCAGGCCATCGGAATTGCTGTTGTGGTTTAGTTGAGTCA